ATATTTTTTTTCCCCATGTAAAAAAAAAAAAAAAAAAAAAAAGTTCTGATACAGTGAATGTGTTAAATGTATTTTGGAATAAAATAATAATTGTTTTAAGAGTCAATCATTCTAGAATTAAAATCTCCGTTTCCTAAGCAGTGAAATAAAACAGCAAAGCCAACTCCCAAATTGCTGCTTATCCTCTTAATTTTATATTTCTGATGTTGTTGCGTGTCCCAGTATGTACAGACCTTTACTTGTGTTTACATACATGTGTGGTTTTTGCAGGTTAAATGCGACTTAGAAGACTGTCAGTTCCTAATTAGAGTTGGGAGTGTGGTTATTTATTTGAATCCAACGGGTAAATAAGCTGTTTTCCCTTACTCTTTATGCTGAAAGGCAACAATATGGATAAACAGGTCATCAGTCATAAAAATCTACAATAGGAATAATTGTGTTTCAACTGAAATCATTTTATAAAAATGTAAGTCATTAGCAAGCGACATACTAAGCCGTGACTTATTACATCCATTTTCTACACTTGGCAACAGATTTCCAAGGGCATGAATGACACTGGTGTGCCTAACTTCTTTGCAAACTCTGAGGAAGTTAGGTTCCTGACAGCTGTTTGTGTCTGACAGTTTATGCTGTGGTTCATATTCAGACCCGTTTTTAGAAAGCTTGATTAAAATCTCTTCAGACATTTTTGTATTTATAATGAGGAGGTGGGGGGGGGGAATACTTCCTACTTCAAAAATAAAAATAAACTGCATTTTTTAAATCAAGGGCAGTAGCCAATACGGCTTTGGAACTTGTCCTGGATAGAGTCCTCAGCGAGGCTTAGTGTTTTGCTTGATTTGACAGGAAAATGAAAACTGTCTGACCAAAAAATCACCAGCAAGAATTCTCAGTAGGTAGCTAAGGTTTCAGCAGGGCTTAGTGAAGCCCTCCCTCCTTTCAAACACATCCCTGGATGGTATCCCATTCTCCCCTCAATACAGGCTGAGTGAAGGATAGGCTACTGAAAGGATATTTTGGATGCAGGGGATTTGCACTGGAAAACGCGCTTAAATCCTTTGCTCTAAAAAAGAGTCTGCCTTAACGTGTAGGACAGTAATATGTTCTTGATGCGAGCCCAGTTATTTTAGGGCTGCCCCGCCAGTTGACTGCATTCTGCAAGGTTTCCTAAAATCTAACTTTTCACTTCAAATTAAAACGTTTCTGCCCCTAATTCCTCACATGCCTTAAGGTATGCAGCTTGGGAGGAGGTGTGCTGCTCTTCTGCCCCTTATGCTTATAACCTGAGTGCAGTCCTAGGAGGAACCTGGGTATGAATTCCTGGGGCACCTCCTTTCATTAGGGAAATGTCAAGCTATGGGACCCAACAGCTTTTGGGCTCCTTTTTACACTAAAGGAGGAGCGTGTGAAGAGGCTGGGGTGGAGTGCAGAATCAGAATGACTTTGTTTGCAGGTACCATTCCTACAATATAAACCACTTGCAGTTGCCTCCAGCTATACAACAGTAGCTGCAAATGTTGGAAACCGCGTCTCCTACCCATCTCGCCTCATTCGAGTGTAAGCCTCGAAGCATCATCAAGGACTTTAAAATTCTGACATGTTCTTTTTATTAATTATTTAAACATGGAAATGAGTGCAGAATGTCAAAACCATAGCGCCACAGTTAGAAATTAAGGTTTGTTCTAGTAACATTAATAGCACTTTGGAGAAAGGAAACATGAACAGTAGTTTTGTTTTGCGAGGGGAGAGGCTGTTTTTTTGGGGGAGGGAGGGCTGTGGTTGAATGTGCTATCTTAATATAGTTGTAATAAATATATCATCAATTATTCAGGATGTAAAGTATGGTCAAGTTCATGCTTCTGTGAGAGCGCTAACTGTGCAACTTTAACATTGCATTAATACAGGGTTTGTTTTTTTTTCTTTTTCATTTAATTAGAGAGAAATGTAATGATTGAATTTTAATGGCAGAGAGCCAGGGATTTTTACTGTAGGCTTTCATACACGTACTCATAATACAGGTGCCCCAGTCTACCATGTATGAATTCGAGGCAGGTGTTTAAACTCACATGGCAAACATGCTGCAGGTAATCATGGAGGGGAAAAAATCTCTCTTAACTTCCACATCTGACATATCCACACTGAGCGGTATTCAGGCTTCAACATCTGTCCTCCAAGTAAAGGCAACACCTGCAGTTTGTAAGGAATTCCTGCCTGTAACTTTCCTGTGGAAATCCATTCTCCACTGTGCCTACGTTAGCAGCCAAGCCAGCGGCATCAAGAGAGAGGCTTGTCCTGGAAGAAGCAAAAAAGAATTAAGCCAGGAATGGCTGGAAGTTTGCCGTTTGAAGTCTTTCCTCGTAGCCCAGCCCAAGAAACTCTTTTGGCGCTTTTATTAAACGCTTATTCCCTTGACTTGCCCTGGAAGTTGAGGTGCAGATTTTAGATCGTTGGACTTGAACTCTGCTTCCCAGATTTGCTTCAGGGCCTCTTCGTGAATACTGCAGTGGGCTGCAGGAGCACAAACCAAAGCAATGTGCAGGTGGTGGTGGTGTTGTTTGTTTAGCTTTGTAAAGAATAAATGTGAAATAACTGGGTTTCATTGATTTGTATGCCATCAGTGCTCCTGCAACCCTCCTCCAAAAATGCTTAGTTAGTGTAATGTTGATGATTACAAACCTGATGAGTACTTTCCTATCTATAAAGAACTTTCTCCCTGCCCCCACCCTGCAAAGAGATTAGCACAGATAACATCATACATGTAGCATTATCTTTGCATCCAGTAACGAGTGCTTGTTTAGTTTCTCTTGCCCTTCCACTCCTCATATTGATATATTCTCAATCCATTATTCTCTAGAGATAAAGACAGTTATTGCAGCCATTATCTGGCACCACAGTTCTATCGATGCTGCACAGTTAGCCCCTTAAGAGGTAATTTTCCAAAGAGTTTAGTCAGTATACTTTATAGTCCATAAAGAGTCAGGAAGATTTTTGCCTAACCATGGAGCTAAAATTGTTCAATATATATACTAAATGCTCCTCTAACCCTTGAAACAAATACATAAAAATAGACAGTAATCTGTGATTCAGGGGTTATGCTGTAGTTTGCTTTTTATTATTGGCAGTCGCATGCCAGAAACTGGTGGCTTCAACCTACCATCGCTTGGTTCTGGAAATTATCTTGGGCTTCTTTTGTACATTTGTGTATCCCTCTTCAACCAGTCCACAAACAGGCATCAGTTCGTGGCTGACCTCTCTGCTCCAAAGCTGGAATGTGAGATGGCGTTAAAAAGAGGAACTTTTGA